GCTTCTTAGTGCAGTGCTTTAACCCGCTGCGCCACCAGGGAGGGCCTTTTTTGGTTTTTTTTTTAAAGATTTATTTATTTGTGCATACAGAACTGGGGTACAGGCCAGAGGCTCAGGGGTGGCGAAAGTCTTCACCAGAGACAGAGTGGGGAGCAGAACAGGCAGATCGACGAAGTACACTGCTGAGGGGAGCAGCGGGCAGGTCAGGAGAGGTCTGCTGCGCCATGTGGTCACCTCTGGGGCAGGCGGGAATCGAACTCATGCTGAAGTGGCTTTAGCTTCTCAGTGCTGCGCCTTAACCCGCTGCACCACCAGGGAGGACCTGATTCTATCGTTTTAAAGAAGAGACAGGTACAGAAAAAGACAAAATAAATGCCAAAATGAAGATTTAAACAAAAACAACTGACCACAAAAATTCCAACAAGGGGGATTCCCTGGTGGCACAGGGGTTAAAGTCTCAGCCTATCAAGCTATCACCAGCTACTGTGGCATGAGTTCCTTCCCCAGCCAGGGAGTTACCCACATGGCACAACAGACCTCTCCTATCTGGCCTTCTGCTCCCTTCAGCAGTATATTTCAGTAGATCCACCAGTTCTTCCCCCACTCTGTCTCTGATGGATCCTCTCACCACCAACCCCTGTACCTCTGGCCTACACCCCAGTTCTTGTATGCATAAATAAAATAAACAAGAAACCAAATGAAGAAAGTAATTTGATACATGATAATGGTACTATGGTTACACAGAAAATGACTTTAGGCAGTAATGCAAATCAAGTATCCTGATAACTGCAACTATCTTCAAATGGTACAATAAAAAAAAATTCATATTATCTATCACCGTATACTAAATCACTCTAGAGAGAGAGAAATAAGACATGCCCAAATGTTAACAATTGTTGAAACTAGGTGAAGGTGTAAGAGTGTGCATTATGCATACCTTCAACTTCTCTGTTTTTAAAAAAATTTTTGCAATAAATAGATGGTGGCGGAGACTGTTTTGAGAACACATAAGCAAATTCATTAACCTGTATTTATTAAGTGAACTATGTATCACTAATCCCCAGATTGCAGTCTCAATACCATTTCCAGCTAAAGGGAACCGTGAATCACTGCGGAAAAGTTGATAGCAGCTCTAGTCCAGGAATGTACAAAATAACGCTGGAATATTTTAGCATATCAAATAGCAAGAAACCTTAAGGGTCATATCAAAGGAACTCAGGTGCTAACTTGAGTAAATTCCCACTGGATTAAATAGAACAATTTAAGCATCATAAATACTGAAAGAAAAAAAACTACTAATTATAACATTATCTATATAGGTGTTAATTTTGAGTTCATAACAGTACAAAAAAAAAACTTCTTCACTGTGCAACTTGAAGGATGTTAGGAAATTAATTCATTACCTTGAAAGCTGTATAACTAACAGACTTCTCTTTTCTACATAAACTATAACTCTAGGTAACATTAAGTTAATGTGGATGGTTTTCTCTTTGTAGAAGTGTTCTACCTGACAAACAAAATAAGGGCCTCCCTGGTGGTGCAGGGGTTAAAGTCTCAGTGCTATCAAGCTATCACCAGTCACTGCTGTATGAGTTTGATCCCCAGCCAGGGAGTGACCCACATGGCCAGCAACCTCTCCTGTCTCACCCACTGTTCCCCTTAGCAATGAATATCTGTCTGTTCTGCTCCCCACTCTGTCTCTGGTAAATCACTCACCCCCAACACCTTTGACCTACACCCCAGTTCTTGTATGTGTAAATAAATAAGCCTTTAAAAAATAAATGATAGAATAAGGATATTTTCTAACTCATATATTAATTAATTTAGAACAGTGGATATCAATCAGGAACAATTTTATATCTAAGGGACAGGTGGCTACTTCTAGAGATATTTTCAGTTGTCACAATTGTAGGGAGTTGCAGCTGGCACCCACTAGAGGGAGCCAAGAGTGCTGCTAACCATCATGCTACAGTGCACAGGACAGTCCCCTATAGAAAAGAGAGCACTGGACTGTGGTGATGTCACACGGGTGAATTGGTGGTGGGAAGTCCATGGGGATTACAACTGAGTTGAAAAAATACACAAAAGGAATAATTTTACACACACACACACGTATAAAGAAAAAATAAATAATAGGAAAGAATCATCTAATCCAAAGTGTCGATAGTGACAGGTTTGAGGACACCTAATCCAGACAGTGATCACTGGTTACCAACATCACTAAAAGATCATCACACACTCATGACAACAGTACAACTGAAGCAGAGATAAGTGATGTTGACCAACAGGGTCTCCAACTCAAGGTAAATAAGGGTCATAGATCTATCCCCGTTTTGTATTTTTTCCCCCATGTTTGACATTTTCCATCATAAAAAGTTAAAAAAAAAAAGCAACAAAAAGCCTAATTCAAGGTACATTTAAAACTCATTTTAGCAAACCCCTCTGCACTATTTAATGGGTTGCTTATAACACTTGAGCAGATGTTCCATTCTTTGGAATCCATGCACTAGGCTAAGAGATTCGCTCCCTATCAGTTTGTTTCTTCTCACTCTCTTTCATGAACTTCTCTGCCACTCATTCTTTAATGCTGGTGTCCCCAGGGCCCCATTGTCACCCTTTATATTCCCTCCCTGGATGATGGCATCCACTTGGCTTCCTTTACCACCACCCTTCAGCTGATGGTGATTATCTCTATCCTCCACCTAGATTCTTTGTCTCAGTTGATGTCACTCAGTCATCTAAACTAGAAACTTAAAAATTGCTCGGGTTGATGCACTTTCTTCACACAAGACTGCCTAACTCTGTTCAGGTCCTCATCCTCTCTCCAGACTGGGGCACTGTCAGAGTCTCCTTCCTAAATCAAAACAACCACCAACCAAACAACCACCACCGTGATCTTCCGAAAACAGGAACCTGGTTCCTCAGCTTGGAATTAACATTACCAACTACAGTAATTCAAACTTGGATAAAGGTTCTGATAGGTGTTGGTTATTCAAAGAAAATGAAACAAATTCCAAGTGTTTGTGGGTCTTATACAACTACAGAACACAAACTGCAGTTACACATATAACTGCAGAAACACGTATAACTGTAGTTAACACCAACAGAATGTGCTGAGTGTGTGTTGCTGAAACCACTCGCTTCTCCTGGCTCTGGGAAGGCTTGTCAGTCTCCGGTTCTTCCACCAGCGCGGAACCTTCCTTTGCACGGTGCTCCGGGCAACATCTGGAGCCTTCTCTCAACCTCAGACAGCGTTTATCAGTTAGAACTGCCTTTATTCTTTGCTCTGCCCTTGACAACTGAACAGCATTTCTTGGCTCTAACTCTCATAAAGATGGGACCAGACGGTTGATGGGACCAGGCAGTCACGGATGCGGATGGTGCTGATATTTTCTTTTTGCTGACCACAGAAACAGAGGATACTTGAGAATACTCAAATACTTGAGAATTTTTTTTAAGAACTCAGCCTTGCCCTCTGAAGTTCGGTCGCAGATTTTTGCTCCTAAGTCCGCAGCCTCCACTTCTGCCGCCTTCCATTGCGCTGCTAGATGGAAACCCGCTCGCCAGCGCCCACTACTTCTCGCCTCCGCGGCTCCCCACCGCCAGAGTGGGGGGGGAGGGGACGTCTCTCATACCCCGCGACGATTGGCTAGTTCAACCGCTGGATGGGGTGGAGCTAGCGGAGAACCGGAAGCGTCGGGTACGGAGATGCGCAGGGTCCAGAGATCGCACATGCGCACTCGGTATGCGCTGACTTAAAGAAGCCGGCTGCAGCGCCCCCTTCGGCCTGAGGGGGGAGACGCGTCTCCTACCTGGCGGAGGACCGAACCTGTTGCGGGAGGAGAGTGGGGTTCACTCTGATGAGGGTCACACAGAGGGGAGGAGTCACTTTGAGATGTGGGGTCACAATGACTGGTGAAGTCACTCTAAGAGGAGGACTGGTGAAGTCACTGCGTGGGAGGAACGCTCAGAGGAGACTCGCTCTGAGGGGTCCTGGCACACACTGAGGGTGGTTGCATACTGAGGGAATGTCCCACGGGGGCGGAGTGTCTCACTGAAGAAGAGTGAGGGGTTTCCGAAGGGGGTGTCTCACTGAAGGGAGTTTCCTTGACGGGCGGGGATCTCACGGAAAAAAGGGGCTTGCCTTCAGGTGGAGACTCCTCTGCCGAGAGAGAGATCATTTGGACGCACAAAAGGTCCAGGCTGAGTGGTCACTGGGCGGAGGCACTGGAATCTGAACTGTATTCGAGGGAGGCTGGATGGAGTGAGGTGAAGTTGGGGTCTCTCCTGGTTGGGCTGACGTAGGATTCACTATAGTCCTGGGGCATCGTAACTGCCTGAGCTGGTGCAGTGCCTGGGAGCCCGGAGGTTTAGGGTGCAGGGGTCGAGACCAGGGAAATGGGCCGGGGCAGAGGCCAGGAAATTGGGCAGATCGTGGCAGCTTCTGATTGTACCACGACCTGAGGGCTCTACTTTTTTGACCCGCTAGTCCTTAGAATCCAGGAATCGGGCCACTTCCTAAGCCAGGTCCTAACCGAGTGCCCCAAGTGGAAGGGGAGAAAGGACTGCCGGAGCTTCTAGAAGACGTTGGAGCTACGCGTACGCAGTCAGCTCTTCATTCCTTCAAGCTATTCAACTAGGGCCTGAAATTGCTTCATCTCGACGCCCCGAACCCACGAGCGTAGGGAGTCGCGGCCACCGGCGCGACGGGTCCTGGGGTGCGCACCTGAGGGGGCGTGGCCGCTGCCCCGGGCCGGGCTGGAAGGGGTTAAGCGGACGCCCGCTCAGCCCCGCCCCCCGACAGGCCGC